AAAAAAAAAACCCCAAAACCTAAACCCTACCATTGGTTAGTTACATGCTGGAGAAGGACCAGGTGCAGGTTTATCCAAATCTTTTCAGCTTTCTCACTCTTTAGACATAGTCTTCTGAAAGAAGTTTCCTGTTTGCTGGATGAACTGGGTATTTCTAGAACTCGTTGCTCACAGAGTTTGCCCTGTCAGGCTGACTTTGTGTTGGATCTTGTACCACCCTTTGTTCTAGTTAAGTGTGGGCGCTTCATCTAAACAGCCTGTGTTTTGCATCAGCAGTGGGTTAACATGAAGACCCTTCCCATCCCTCTTGAGATGGAAAGTTCTCGGAGGAAAAAACAAGACTTGAGTTAGAGATGCTGTAGCATCTTTATTTTCACATCTCTGTCTGCATGACTGTCACTGACACTCTCTTTTCAGATACTGGAGGACAGAACTATAAAAGGGTGTGTGAGCGTGGAGCCCTACATCCTTGGGGAGTTCGTGAAGCTGTCCAATAACACGAAGGTAGTGAAGAATGAGTACAAAGCCACAGAGTGTGGTCTGGCCTACGGCCATTTCTCCTACGAGTTCTCCAATGGAACAGATGTTGTCGTTGATCTGCAAGGTTTGTATTATAGCAAACTTAATTTCTTGCATGTCCTCCCCTGTTGCAGCATATGCTATATAAAGGATGAACCGTCTCGAAATGATGTTAAGTGAGGGAGGTATGTGCAGGTATGTTTTTGCCTCAAGCAGTGCTCTTGTTGTCCGCTGCATCACAGCAAGAGCATGTGAGCCGCGTGCTCCCGAGCGTGCCACAGCTTCACGCCGTGGAGTGATCTGCATCCAGTTAGACTAAAGCCAGTCGGCAAGGAACCATCTGAAGGAGAACCACTAAAAGCAGCAGCAGGGTTTTGTCACGCTTCTTCCTTGCTAAAATTGGCAAGCCTTAAAAAAGCTCCCCTATTCAGCTAACGGAGAATTGAGCTCTTTTGTGAAGAGCCAAGGATAAAACCTTTCAGACTAGACCTTTAGCAGGCAGGTATCTTTGGGATATTCGTTTCATTACATACTCGTTATGTACCTCTTAGGGTTCTGCTTCTGCTGACATAGATACAAACTGGGAATCACTGAGGTGACATTAAGAGAGAGTGGACTGTGCCAAGCAGGCAGTCCTGAGTACGCTAATACAAAGGCTGCGATGTTCGATATCTGGATGTATCCTTCTTCCACAGGTTGGGTGACAGGTAACGGGAAAGGCCTCATCTACCTCACAGACCCCCAGATTCATTCCCTTAATAGCAAAGATGTTTCACGCTCCAACTTCGGAAAGAAAGGAATTTATTACTTCTTTAATAATCAACACGTGGAGTGCAATGAAATCTGTCGCTGCCTTTCTTTAACAAGACCTTCAGTAGAGCTTCCAATGTAGACTCGCCCAAGGCAGTTGCACAAAGAATGACCCGTAAGATGGACTGGACTTTATCCTACACACTTTTAGGAGCATATGACCTTTGTGAGAACAGAGCCACTGAGACGAAACCCGTCTGAGTCAGGTCAGTCATTATTTACACGAGTTTGGCAAGTTCTGGCTTTTGCATCCGGGCTGATAATACAATCTTATCATCTTGCGTCCCATCTGAACCTCATGTCGTTATAGCCATCTGTAAGAATTAACAGAAGAACATAAGGAGAGTAAGAAAACAGCCTCCCGAATTCAGCGAGAGGTGTACTACCAGG